AATTGAAAAAAGCATCAGTAACACACACATCAGCTTACTTGTCCATACTCTGGAAGATGTGTACAATGTTATTCTTGACTTCTAACTCAAAGTCAAACGACCGATGAGTTCCAGTGCCGCCGCGCGAGAAATTGACGGCGACCACCTCATCGAAGCGCACGTGCAGCGCGGGCTTGTGCACGAAGATGAAGCCCTTCTCCAGCGGGAATAGCATGCCATGGTTGGCCTTGTAGCTGCAGCTGATGCACTGCCCGCCGCGCTGACTGCACACGTTCAAACACGCACACAAACCAAACAAACACACACACACACGCGCATGCACAAACAAACAAACATACACACACACGCATGCACACACAAACAAACGTACGCCCACACGCAAACCGACATATCTATTAGAGCAGTTTGATTCTGACCATTCAAGCATGGACTCTCCGAGACAGCACATCAATTATCATGACAACACGTAGTCTGCAACTCAACGGGCGGAAACGTCCAACATGATGTACTGAATAAGCAGAAATATTCGTCTGGTATTTAATTTCTTCTTTTCGTCCAAGGAGCTTTTGGACTAAATTAAATGCCGGACTATTGTCGATTTGTCCAGCTTTTCAATACACTCTTATTATCCATGGACGAAATTTACAACCGGACGAATTCCCTTTCTTTGGAGATGGACGAAATTATTGACCGACGAAATGTTCTGCCTGTACAGTATGTGGTGCGTCCAGTACGTCTGCAGATCTCAAGCACCAGTACAACTCCTTACAGGGTTCTAGCCAAAGGGGGGGGAAAGGGACGCAGAAAAAAAAGGGGACGCAGCGACCCCCTACTCATTTTCCGATTTTCGTGTTTCCATGCAATTCAAAGAAAATGCAGTCGAAAGTCACTACTAGATGGTTCATAAAGGCACATTTGTCTCGGGTGAAGTCGGGGATTCGCCCCATACGTTGCATTTAGCGTGGCAAGATAATATAGGAAAGTGGAAAAAATGGGATACGGCGTAAGTGCTTCCCATGCCCCCCCCCCCCCCCCCTACTATTTTGACCTGGCTAGAAGTAGAACCCTGTGACAATATTAGACTATGTTAAGATGCTGCAGATCACACATACTACAAGTAGTACTTGAGTACAATTTGCACCACAGCCGGCTGACAAACAGGGGGAAAGAACACACGCAAAAGACAGGACAACGCGTGCCAAGATCATTACCTTCGGTAATTGCCAGGCACGACGATCTTCTTTGAAGCGACCGCCTTCATGACGCGGCTCAGCACCTCGTAAATAGGCCCATTCATCTGCTGAGTCAGCTTACCCTGGTACTGCTTCTCCAGCTCTTCTCTACAAAACGTAGAAAAAAAAAGGACATACGGAAACGATTTAAGAGTAACTCTCCACCACTGTAACGAACCGTATGCGTGTTAAAACAAAATGGCGTCACGATTTATTGAAAGTGGTATAGTTGGTGGAACGAGTGTTCAAACCCATTTGAACTTCATACTGCTCGTCTTCTTTTTGACATGCTCTCTTTCCATCGTCCTTAGCTTTTGTTTGTTGAGAGCTGTTTTGGCTTTCTCCTATACCTCTGGGGGATGCCAAGTGATGGTTTTGAGAGGCTGGTGATGGCTGTGAGCGAGAGTTTGCCGATCGGCGTCGTCCTCGCTATAGCGATGAAAATACTAGTTACTGCGCACCTGGCAGATATCACAACACGTCGGAGCGTCCAGGAGCAAAAGAATCTTGGGTTTTCACTGGAATCTAGTTCCTCCAGCATCGTGTAGGCCACCGTCGGTGAATGGCGGTCCAGAAAGGTCGAAACTGGTCTTCTGCAGCATCTCGCAGTCCTGCGAGGCACACTGAATACGCCTGTCATGTATTCTACAAATAAAAATCACGAAGTAGTGGACTTTACAGTGATGAGTCTATCCTGTATGCTGCAAAAGACGCAGGAAATGTGACTGGTGTCCGTACACTGGACGCCAATATCATCCCAGTCTTCTCCTGCAGGATCTGTTTGACATTGACATACCGGTATGCAGTGGGTCGACATTGGCCTGGTTTGGCAGCTATCTGCCTGGGTGGATGTAGCAGGTTTGCATTGGCGCGTCGTCCAGTCCGACATTTTCTTGTAACTGTGGAGTACCGGCAGGGTCTGAGAGGTTGCTCGTGCTGTGAACACATCCCTACTGCCTGTCTCGTCCTGGAAGTGCCGTCTCGCCGCTTCCTTGCTCTACAGTCACGCCGTTATTTCGCTTTGTTTCGTGGTGCAGCTCAAAACCTGCCCAAACAACTGTGAGCTCGCAACATGGTATGGACAAATTGCACCACTCATGCTGGTTAACTAAAACCGGGATAGTCGAGTAAGCGAGTTCACTCCCTGGGCCATGGCAAGATCTGTTCAGCGCGGGCTATTCCAACCTCCAAGTGCATAGTCACCGATCGATCCATGCCATGGTGGTTGACCTACAAAGAGCCAAGGTCTACGAGTACTACTATTGGATGCTGTCTACATGCAGTCAACAAAATCAAAGTACCTCAGTATGCCCCAGAACAGGGCATGTGCATCTATAGCATGACACAACAGGGGTTCTGGCGGCACCTGTCAAACAAGCAGTAGCGACTAGTGCCAGCTACCTATTGGAGGCTAGCCGCTACAGTCTGTCACTGGAGATAATTATTATGTTCACTGTTTAGACTGAGCACAATCAATGATGCCCAATCAATCTGCCCAATGTGTGTTCTGTTCCACCTAATTATAACGTCCCATCGCATCAACCCTACTACACGCACATGTCGTCACTCTAGCACGACTTGTGTTATTATTGTTTATTTTGATTCGCACGATAAATAGAGCACAATAAACGTTAACTTGACCGAAGGTTAAAGGCGACTGCAGATAGAGGAACACATCGAGGTACAGGTACCGGCATCAATACAGTATCAGAGAGGTACGCAGAAAAAACTCTCGTAAGCCCAAGGGGAAGTGGTTGATGAGGGATGAATGCACTCTCCACGCTCGTCTACACTGTTCGTGGAAATGCACACATACATACAATAATATACAACATAGCAATAGCATGCACAGAACCGAACAATTTCATGTTCACACATGCAAGCACAGACCTGAACATTAGTACCAAAAGCCGATACAGACAATATCCCCATACACACAGACGCACACACACACAATGTCCCATGTATGCGCCCGTGGCGAGAAAAGCACGCAAATCTAAAAATGCACTGGATGTGAACCCACAGATTTTCTCTAATAACAATGATAGCGGATCTGATTCTGTATTAAACACACACACACAATACAATCATTGAATGCCCATCCGCAGATGATGGCAGGTCCTGAAAGAACAGGCTGTGTTCCAGTGATGGGGAACAGAACTTCGAGTGGCGAGTGAGGTATACACACACACGTGCGTGCGCGGGCACACACCAAAGTATGAAGAAATAGAATCGACATCGTAGTATTCATTGGTTGGGGAATGGAAAGGAAAATAAAACATTGCTGTAGGTTATTGTTGTAAGGACACTGGGAGCACAACAGAAAGGTAAGCAACTTGCTTTGAAGCAAAGAAAGTTATTATTCCACGGATCTCAGAAGGAACGTTCCAGAATGCTGCACTGGCAACAGGCGGCCTGCATGTGCGCGGCCCCTGCAGTCGGTCCAGCTGCCGGCCTTGCAGTGCTGAAAAGAATATGCAGTACAGCATATCACATAGTATCGCAGCCTGGACAAATAGGCGCTGGGAAGTCCTAGTTATGTGCTCACCTACACCACGATGCACCAATCTTCTGAGCTACTTTGGCAACAATTTTGTCCACTTGAGACTCCCATGGGCTGAGCCAGTTGTTGAGGGCTGCATCAAGGTGGACGGCAATGACCGCTGATGGCAAGACAATCCATGACACACAGTCACTAGGGCATCGTCAACATGGCGCTGAGGCTGGATCGATAAAATCAACCTTTAGGCTGCCGCGGGGTTGACAACGAGGCCGCTGTCTCGATGCTAGTCAGTCAGCCTGGTCACCGCCATTGACGAACCAGTCGCCACCGCCAGCAGTGGCGGTAGGTTGTGACAAGTATGGTGCAATATTGTCAGCAAATTCAGTACTCAGGATAAGACGAGTGACAAAGGGAACGTTGTGTTTGATAATATTGAAGTGAACAGGGATGATCACAAACCCTGCGCGCACTCCACCGTGAGTTACAAGAAAATTCCGGACTGGACGACGAGCAAACACCAACCTGCTACATCCAACCAGGCAGATACTATTACGATAGCTGCCAAACCAGGTCAATGCCGACCTACTGCATAATGTCAATGTCAAACAGATCCTGCAGGAGAAGACTGGGGTGTTGGCGTCCAGTCACTGAGTGTACAGACACCAGTCACATTTCCTGCGTCTTTTGCAGCATACAGGATAGACTCATCACTGTAAAGTCCACAACTTCGTGATTTTTATTTGTAGAATACATGACAGGCGTATTCAGTGTGCCTCGCAGGACTGCGAGATGCTGCAGAAGACCAGGTTCGAACTTTCTGGACCGCCATTCACCGACGGTGGGCTACACGATGCTGGAGGAACTAGATTCCAGTGAAAACCCAAGATTCCTTTGCTCCTGGACGCTCCGACGTGTTGTGATATCTGCCAGGTGCGCAGTAACTAGTATTTTCATCGCTATAGCGAGGACGACGCCGATCGGCAAACTCTCGCTCACAGCCATCACCAGCCTCTCAAAACCATCACTTGGCATCCCCCAGAGGTATAGGAGAAAGCCAAAACAGCTCTCAACAAACAAAAGCTAAGGACGATGGAAAGAGAGCATGTCAAAAAGAAGACGAACAGTATGAAGTTCAAATGGGTTTGAACACTCGTTCCACCAACTATACCACTTTCAATAAATCGTGACGCCATTTTGTTTTAACATGAATATCGCGGACTAGATACTATATACAGTCAGAAAGTGCAACAACTAGGGACAAAACTGACAGAGTAGTGAGACATTCGACAGCCTGACACCTAGCTTCAACATCCTTTTCCTTTCTACATTTATTATTGGCTCAATAACCGAGTCTCTACAAAACGCATGAAAACACGCATGTACAAACACAAACACAGACACAGTGTCATATTGAGTCTTGTTGCTTGCTCCGTATCCAGGACGTAAAACAAGCTCTGTCAAAACGTCTCCAGCTGAGTCACATGGACAGGTGGGGCGAAGAAGCCCCCATGCCGACATGTGCATGCCATCCATGTGTACACAGCAATAGACAAAACACACACACACACACACACACACACACACACATGCCCATCGCGGAAGCGATGATAACGAACCGCTATGTTAGACATAACTTGTGCTGGGATTACACCATTCAACAGCTTGCAAGGCAAATGTGTGTATGTCGGAGTATGTGGTGTGGTGTGTGTGTCGAAAAAGACAAGAATGAAAAATAGGGATTCACACACCACCACCACCACCACCACCACCACCACCACCACCACCACCACCACCACCACCACCACGATACTATCACACGGAATACACATGCCTACAATAGTGCACTGCCAATGTATCACTGCACAAGTGCACTGACTTACGTGCTGCAGTGGCAGTGCAGTCAGGGTAGAGTAAACCAATACTAGTACTACAGTAAAACCTGGTTTAAGTGACCACCCCACGGCGCAAGCAAAAGCGGTCGTTAAAGCCAGGTGGTCTTTAGAACCAGGTCTCACAGTGCGCTAAACCCAGAGGACGCTTACACCAGGGTTTACTATAGTATGCTCTGTGTGCTTGTTGCCGTGCATCTTGTTGCCGTGCATCGTGATTGGCGTATAAGCTCATGGCCACATCTACACTCATCTGATGCCCCTTTTGAATCAGATAAGCCCATGGGCCTGTCTGCGGAATTCTTTGGTTGCTGTATGGAGAGGCACCACGTGCACTGGTTTGCCACTAAATACAACGTATCTACAATGTTGTCATTAAACATGACCTCTGTGTGAAACAGAAGTATGGCGGTACTAACAGCAATTGACGGTACACAACAAAAGCAATGCCACATTGCACGCATGATAAGAACAGGCACAGCGGCAGACTCACTCTGACAATGCCACCTCTGCTTCCATCGACTCTTCCTTGTTGAGGATGAGAATCAGAAAAGGGTAGCGCGTCTGGCCCTGCCTCATGGGAGGGTCCATAGCCACCTAGGCAAGAAACACGCATGCACACACACACAACAGTGGGAGGAGGAGATATTAGAGAACGACCGAGACAAATACGAATCACAGTCATGCCTTAGTGCAAACGCTGCAGTACTACCTGGAGCAAGTGTCACTTTCCTGTTGGTCGATCGCCCATGATACAGTGTGAATTTGAAGACACAACAGCCTTTCCCTCCTTTGCTGCTCCGATAATTACTCAACCCTATATTACTAGAATACATGATCCTCACACAAGACAAGATGCTTAAACAGCAGGCAGGCAGGCATCTGCAGAAACTCACCACAAAGTACATTTGTCGCATGTCGTTGTGAGGCAAGAGGAAGAGTCGCACGATGGACTGAAAGGGAACGGTGAAGTCGTACGACTTGCCATGCAGGAAGAGAAACCCTGGGTATACTTTCACTGTGTAGCGTCCACTATATCGGCAATGGCAGAGGGAAACGTGGGAAAAGGCAATGCAAAGCACAACAACAACTGAGCAACTAAATAAAGAGAAGGACTTTGTAGATTGCACACGACAACAGATTCACAAGGGCTGCCAATAACCCAAACTTTGCATACCATACTTTCTCTAATGAAAGCCCGGGCTACTTATTAGTTCAAGGACCACCTGCGCTAGAATTAGGGACTATGCTTTTATCTTTCAATGCTCCACTATCAGCCAACTTCCGTATCTAAACGTACAAAGAGAGAGAGAGAGAGAGGAACTGACCATATGAAGAATTTTCTAAAACCTACCTTGAAGTAAACTCAAAGAGATATTGTCAAGACTAATGTTTCACAATAACATAGCCACCAGAAAGGAAATACATGTAGATCAATAACGTGCATGACACAATGTACTCAAGTACTCCTATTTTACATTCAGTTAATGTACTGCTGAATAGTCCGGCAAATGTGACCCACGATACTACTAGAGATTGTACTCTTACTACTTCTCAAAAACCCTTGCCGGGTCACTACTATAGACCGGGCTTTATCAGAGAAACCGGTAACTACTAGTACATCTAGTGTCAACAAATACAATTATAAACAAACATAATACATGAATGTAGATACCGCCAAAACCCGAAGAAAAACAACAAATGTGCATACACGCATACACACGCATATACACACACGCGCGCGCGCATGCACACACACACACACACACACACACACACACACACCGCACTGAAAACGGCCAGCAGTGGCTTACCGAGGCACCAAGCATGACATTTCGTCAAACGTAATGAGCGCATCGCCAGACACACGAAGAATGTCGGCATGCGACGTGATTTTGGTGTGGAATTCCTGAGCCACAAAATAAGCAACGGATATGGCAAACGAAGCAGGAATTGCACTACTGTAGAGGGAAATAGTGTCAGCATGATAGCTATTACCAGGGCTACTTCGAAAACAATACAACCGACAATGCAAGGGGGAAGACGGCTAGTTAAACATATGAACAAGCAGGTAGTAGCCGTCTTTGGGCTGACGGCGGGAAAACACGATTATACACCGCATGCATGGGGTCCGCACGCACAACCAACACAGTACAGAGGTTCTGCATTTAGAATTTCCGAATATTTTCCGACTCGACTGCTTCTTTCCGTTCAATTATTTTCCCGAAAGTTCTACTGCTCCGCCGACTCTCGAAGCCAGAACTGCCGAAAAATATTCCGAAATTCAAAACGCAGAACCTCCCTGCCATCTGAGCAAGGTTTCACTAGTTTAAAGAATCCGCAACTCGATGCACCATGTCAGTGTGCACTGCGGTACTCGCCACTGTAGTTAGCGAATTAAGAATACAGTACAGGTGAATTCCTGATAATTCGAACCTCAAAATGCCAGGAAAAAACTTCTAATTATCCAAACATGAACCCACAACTCAATATGTATGTCAAAATGCTCCCATAGTCACGCAGAGTTGCGCTATGGACCTTAGACACAAATTTTACGGACGCTGAACTGACTGGCACAGCCTGCTCATGCAAACTGAGCTGACCAGTACAGTGTACAGTGAACTTCGAATTACACTTTGCTAACTTCGAATTATCAGCACAAATCCCACACATTTTCTATGTGAGTGGAATCTGTGGGACTTCTAAGTAACCGTACATGTCCAGTTCGAGGTTCGAATTATCAGAATTTTTTATGTGGGAATCGTATTGATAGAAATCGGTCCTGGAAAAACTTCTAATTAAGCGGTATGTTCGAATTAAGCCATATTCGAATTATCAGGATTCCACCTGTACCAGTTCTACAGTCTGGGTGGGTGGGTAACAATGCACACCTTAGCAGCAGAGAAAGCATGGACGTCACCTCACCACTGAGTCAAGACCCTCACATCCTGGGCCTTTCAAACTCTCCTCTGGATGGCGTGGCACCCCAGGATCGAATGGACACGCGCACAAAAAAACTCCAATCCAGGCTATCTGAATGCCTCGATAATGTGAGCCCAGAAGTCCTAGCGTTTTGCACACCACATTGCTGACCTGGCACCCCCCCCCCCCTTTCTCCCCATTGGCTGTTGCCTGGCAACACTCAGGTCATGTAAACTGTCTTGTAGTCACATGATATACCCCCAACTTAGCGTGCAATGGTATTGTACCTAGGCTGCGTCTTTGTCGTCGGCGATGCCATCACCGACAGCGGACGCGAGGGACGGTGGCACGTAGAATCTCATTTCAGAGAGCTGAACGTCCGCTTCGTCGTTCGGATGGAACTCCAAGTGTACCTCGTTCTTGGTGATGGACGTCTGGCACACACTCTCCAGTGGCAACTCAAACGATGGCTTGTCGTCGATGACAAACTTCAACGATGAGCCTGCAGGTACATGCAAGCAGGGCCCCAAGCAAACAGGCAATGACATCATGCACGTCACTATGGAAAAACTGACCTACACACCTATCATCACCTAACATACAGTAGTACTATGATGGCGCACTATAGTCTGGTATGTGACCCTGTGGCATTGCCCATGCCTCCCACAACGCAGTACACGCACAACCCTACGGAACAACCGAGCTGCCAAGCTGGACAAGCAATGGAACGCATCCATGCTGAGTAAGAGAAGATGGGATTACTCATCCCTCAATGGCTCTACGTTCTGTGATCATATGCATTGTTCAAATATCAGCAATTTTAGCGCCATACACTACGCTGTAGTGCAGGAAACAATCAAATATCGAGATTCTGTGAAGAGACTGCAGAGTGCAAACACACATAGCAACACGGACAAAAAGCATGATCAAGCCACGCTGGCACGATGCCGTACCGCAAAAGTCGGTTTTCCCATAGCTAAGGCCGCGAACAGACCGCTCCACTATGCTCCACGGCAGCTTGTACCATTTGCTAATCTTGCCTTGTAACCGCTGGCTTTCCTGGGAAAGAAATACAGAATGAAAAAAACAAAAACAAAGAACACCGCATGCACAGAAGACACACGGGCACAGATGCAAACACAGACACACCCACACAGAAACACACACACACACACACGCACACACACAAACACGCACCCATATCACGTCAGTCTCCAGAAAACAAGAATAAGAAACAGAAACCCGTAGTGTGTGCAAACAAGACCAAAGCCCAAATCCCCGACACCGACACGGTCTACTATAGTCTATCATACGGTGGAATCAAGTGAAATCCGATCTCATGAATAAACCAGAATTGCATTCATTGCACAGGCCAGTGCTTATAATGCTAGGGTTACTTATTCCCCGGAGTTGCTATATTATTGGCAAGATCGGACTTTATGCGCTACTCCTGTGTTTCTATTTGCAGTGCTGCCAAACCGTCCGATTTTTCGGACAGTGTCCGATTTTCGAAGGCTCTTCCGAAAACCGGTCTGAAAAGGGAAACGTCTGAAAAACAGCCAAAATGTCGGAGATCATTACTTTCATATGCAGAAGTCCTGTACTTTCACTTTTCAGCGCAACTGAAGGCACAAATCACTGTGCATTTGCTTCTAAAAAGGCTAGCACTTGGCTGTGGAAGTGCAAAGTAACATGCCTGGATCAGGCTGGATGGCAAGTACACTGACAGTCTGTACAGAGTCAGTGTGCGAACCACACTCATCATTACAAAATTCATGACAACTCCGGGGTTACCATGGCAACGAAGCGAATTTTCATGGTGATTTAGGCGGTTTTTTTTAATTCTCTGTAAAAAATTGCCGAGGAGAAAAATTCGCACCATGTGGCCACTGGCCAGCCTTGACGGTGAAGGGTGTCCGATTTTGGGCGAAAATGATTTGGCATCACTGTATTTGCCTGCGTGGCACAATCAATGTACGAAAATTTACACATGAGAGTGTGTTGGCATAACTGTCATGCCACAAAGCGGAGAAGTTAACTGCTGGCCGTGTGTGCATGCAAATGCACACACGCACGCACATGCACATGTGCGCGCGTGCACGCACACACACACACACACACACACACACACACACACACACATACATACACACACACACACATACACACACACACACGCACACACACACATGTGCGCGCGCGCGCACACACACACACGCACACACACGGGACAGCGCGCCACGTACGGTCTCTTTGAAGCCCTGTATAGCGGAGTGCAGGAGCCCGACTTGGCGACTAGTGACATCTCCCAGCCCTTCGGCGCACGCGTCCAGTTGACTGACTCAAGCCTATCTGGGCTGAACTGTTCAATCTTGCCACTTCAGCTGGCCTTGAATGTGATCTTCTCTGGCTGCATGCGAAGACGGCCGTGGTTCTAGATAGGAAACACGGAAAGACGGGGTACAATGACGTTAACAGGCCGACTCAAATTCCAGGGGGCCTTGGTCACCTTAGACCGGTTTTCCAGAAATATTTAATCTGATACTATACCCATGAAACTCTCATCCATGTGTACTTTATATTGGGGGGGAGGGGGGGGGGGTTCCTGCAAAAGGTCCTGACAAACGGATCCCTTTCGTAGGATTTTTATTCTTCCATTTATAGACTTGGAAAAAAACTATGAAATTTATGAAATGAACATACTGCAAAGAGAATGAAGCAGTTCACGGTAGCAGAAGATATAGCTACTACAGCAGCAAGGCGGGAGGCGGCGAAATGGTGTGAAGCGTAGCACGTGACCAAGGGAAAACAAGCAGTGTACTATAGATTCACACGCTACGAAGAGTAGCAAGGTGTGACTTGAATAAAAATAAATAAAAAAGCAAGGTGTGACTAAAACCAAGCACAGCGGTGTAATGTTCTGCTTCTGCCTGCAAGGTTCAGCTGCTGAGCGTGAATATACACCGATTCTAACGCTTTCAAACAGCGATCACAACACCCACATGAATCTACTGCAAGTGAATGCAAAACAATAAAACAAAACCAATTAGCAGTAACTTCAGGACTGGGCACATGTCCTAAAAGTGCAAGGGATAAATGATCAATCTTGCGAGTTTGAGTTGAAGCGTGCAGACTCACAACAAAATGACAAAGGAATAGAAAGCAAAGAAAAATAACAAAACTACAAAAATAGAGCGGTTCCGCGAGTGGGCAGGAAAACCCATGAATTCGCGAGTTTGCACTCCACTGACGGAAAGTTGTCTAGGTAGAGTAGGTAAGTAGGGCTCCATAAGCGGCTTGGGCCGTTGGGGTACAAATTGATGACTCTCTCTCCCTGGGTCGTACACTGTCGCGTTTGGTGTTGCCAAGGGTAGGTATGTGATTTGAAAACTCCTTCTGGCCAAACACGGATCTGCATGCAGTCTACGGAAGACTTTCCGTAGATCGACTACATTTTTTTACTAACGTAATTACTAATTACATTATCTGTCCCCCCCCCCCCCAGGAACTTGCGATTCCGCGGCCGCGTTGTTTTCCGCGATTTGAACAAAAGTCCGCGATATCCGCGATATTTGAAAACCATCCACGTTATTGTAGAAAACTGTCCGTTGATACTTGAAAAGCACCACGATATTTCGAAAAGCAACCGCGATATTCGGGTCTTTCGATGTTGTTTAGTTCTTGAAGCTCGTCAGTAGTTTACTTGTGAGATCGACACCAGAATGGGAAGTTTCTGGGCAAATCAACGGCTGACAAGTCACAAAATAAGGCTCGGGTCGAGTGTTGTCCGAGGATGGAGGAAAGCTGTCTTGCAAACTCCTGTCAGGCAGTTGAACACAGTCAGCGCAGCACACGTTCTGTTTTGTCATGCATGATTTTTGGTGTACGACTCGTATATCGCACCGCACTACAGACAGTAACAGTACAAGTACCAAAATCGGCCGCAATTTCCGCAATTTTACCACAATAATCATGCAATGTTTGACAAAATCCGCAATATCCCCCGCAATTTGTGGCATTTTACCTCGCTACTTTTTCCGCCATATTTCCGAAAAAATTTTAAGGTACAGAGGCTTATGAAACGCATTAAACTGATGCTGATTTAGCAAGACTTCTACACAAATTCAGTAGCCAAGCAGCTTGCTTCTCAGCTGCTACCATACCAGAGTCTGCATCGTCCATGCGGGAAGCACCCTCCGCCTTCACCTTCCCCAAATACGCATCTTGGTCACTGTCGTCGTCGTCAAAGTCGTCGCGATACGTTGCACTGCCCTGTCAATGCATGGAGGACGGAAAGACCGCAATATGTTAGTAGAGTTCAACGACCAGCGAGCCAGTGACTGTGAGCAAAGTATGGCTCTGCCGCACTGCGCTAACGTCAACACACACACCACCAACAACAACGACGACGACGACGACGACGACAACAACAACAACAACAACAACAACAACAACAACAACAACAACTATTCTCTTATTGGCGATGGTGCCATCGTGAGAATAAAGAATTCAAAAAAAACTACAACAACCAAGCACAAGCACAAGCACAAGCACAAGCACAAGGACAAGGACAAGGAAAAGGAAAAGGAAAAGGACAAGAACAAGAACAAGAACAAGAACAAGAACAAGAACAAGAACAACAACAACAACAACAACAAGAACAACAACAACAACAACAACAACAACAACAACAACAACAACAACAACAACAACAACAACAACAACAACAACAACAACAACAACAACAACAACAACAACAACAACAACAACAACAACAACAACAACAACAACAACAACAACAACAACAACAACAACAACAACAACAACAACAACAACAACAACAACAACAACAACAACAACAACAACAACAACAACAACAACAACAACAACAACAACAACAACAACAACAACAACAACAACAACAACAACAACAACAACAACAACAACAACAACAACAACAACAACAACAACAACAACAACAACAACAACAACAACAACAACAACAACAACAACAACAACAACAACAACAACAACAACAACAACAACAACAACAACAACAACAACAACAACAACAACAACAACAACAACAACAACAACAACTACATCGTGAGAATAAAGAATTCAAACAAAACAGTGCACCACAAAACTAGAGAGCGCAGGACGTACCGACTTGCCGCCCTTATTGCGGATCCTGAGCTTCTTGGCCGAGCAGAAGTCATACAAGCGACTGTACTCATCTCTGGACACAGGCAGATGAACAGAAATCAATGAAGCGCACAAACATGAGAACACTCCGACAGACATGTGTTGAAGACAGCAGTGGAATACGATACAAAGTTACAGCGGGAAACAAACGACTAATTCTGGATTCACAGAAGCAATTTTGCAATGCCATACGCAATGCGACGGCCGCGAAATCCCCAAATCGCATCCATCTCGCAGCTCAACTGGGCCATCGCAGAAATTGAGTGTGGATCAACGTCCGCGACGTGATATGCGATGTGCGATTTGACCTTTTTTGCAACAAGGTTGTATAAAAGGTTCAAGAGTTGCTATAGAATTGTAAAATTTGTACCCAGCCACGCGAATACCATGGTGACGTACTCACCTGCCTTGAACTTCGCACCAAATCAGCAAATTGACGTCATATGGCTGACTTCTTCTGTGAATGGTATTTCGCGAGTTCCTCTATGAGACACTGCGTTTGGTGGCTCGGAACAGGCAATCATTTAACGATATAATCGCACAGGTCACATTGTAGAGTGCAGATCACCTACAGTCCATTCACAAAAAGATGGGCCCTGGCTCTGGCGAGCTCCCGTATTAGGCGATTTTTCAAGATTTTATCGTACACAGTGCAGTGCTGTGAACTTTGAAATTTGAAAACGGGTCCAAAAAGGGTACCTGAACTGGGGTTCGAACCGTACAATGCACTGTTGCAGGCAGGGTCAAACGGCCTGGATTTTGATGGGTTTTCCCAATTCAGTGCTCTTGGGGCAAAACCTGGCCGAAATCCTATTCTTGCTATGGCTTGCTTTTTGGAGAAATAGACTTCAGAAACATAATTGGAAGAGGATTCCAGTCACATCTGGCTGCGGCCTACTACCCTCACTCTGTGTGCTCCTGTCTCTGTTGTCTGGGTCCATGTCGTTATGTCGGTGTATGTGGAGCGAGAAGGGTACCTGAACTGGGGTTCGAACCGTACAATGCACTGTTGCAGGCAGGGTCAAACGGCCTGGATTTTGATAGGTTTTCCCAATTCAGTGCTCTTGGGGCAAAACCTGGCCGAAATCCTATTCTTGCTATGGCTTGCTTTTTGGAGAAATAGACTTCAGAAACATAATTGGAAGAGGATTTCATAGGGGATTGCAGAAAAAAATTCTAAAAAACTCAACGTTTGACCCATTTATCGCCAAAAGCTAGAAGTCCATCTTTTTCTGAATGGACTGTAGTGCTTTCAACAATAATAATGTACTTCCACATTATGGGAATTTGGTATAACCCCACACCCGTCATTGTTGAATATTCGATAATAGCGTGGATTTCCCCAACAATATATTTTTATTTTTTGTTATCCTCTCCCATGCCGTTGTACATAAGCGGCTTGCCGCGGATATGTCAATTCTACTACTACTACTCCATGAGTTCTCGTGTGCTCTGGACGGCAGTCAAGAGTCAGTCGAGTGAAGTAAAGTCGGCGGGAAAAGTGCGAGCTCCAACTAGTGTTGGGAGCAAGTAACTTTCTGATGTTTGTATGTATGTACAAGAAATTGAAAAAAGCATCAGTAACATACATCAGCTTACTTGTCCATACTCTGAAAGATGTGGACAATGTTATTCTTGACTTCTAACTCAAAGTCAAACGACCGATAAGTTCCAGTGCCGCCGCGCGAGAAATTGACGGCGACCACCTCATCGAAGCGCACGTGCAGCGCGGGATTGTGCACAAAGGTGAAGCCCTTCTCCAGCGGGAACAGCATGCCATGGTTGGCCTTGTAGCTGCAGCTGCTGCACTGCCCGCCGCGCTGACTGCACACGTTCAAACACGCACAAACACATACCGTAAAGTCGCGGATAAAAGCCGGGCTTATAAGCACATAAGCCGTTTTCTGCATCAGGCTTTAATGCAAACCAGGCTTGTATGCAAACCATGCTTATATGCACCACTGATATTTTTGCCAGGCTTGTATGCACACCGGCCGATCCGGGCTTGCATAGAAGCCAGGCTTCTACGCGCGACACGCGTAGATCTACCACTGACTACGGGTATGGCGGCAGTTTTACTATGCACTGTACATAGCGCATGCACTCTTGACCTACCCGATCCGCGCTTGCATAGAAGCCAGGCTTCTACGCGCGACAGGCTTATATGCATTTGACCCGTTTGATTTTCAGGCTTCCATCCGCGATGTGCTTGGATGCAAACCTGGCTTTTATCCGCGACTTTACGGTAAACCAAATAAACACACGCCCAAAAACAAACACACGCCCAAAAACAAACACACGCCCAAAAACAAAACACCCGCCCACAATCAAACACACGTGCACATGCAAACCGACAAATCTAAAAGAGCAGTTCGATTTTTACCATTCAAGCATGTACTCTCCGAGACAGCACATCAATTATCATGACAACACATAGTCTGCAACTCAACGGGTGGAAACATCCAACATGATGTACTTAGTGCGTGGTACGTCCAGTACGTGTGCAGATCTCAAGCACCAGTACAACTCCTTACAGGGTTTTAGCCAAAGGGTGTGTGGGGGGGGGGGGGGGGGGCGCAGCGCCTCCCTGCCCCCCCCCCCCCCCCTACTCATTTTCCGATTTTCGTGTTTCCATGCAATTCAAAGAAAATGCAGTCGAAAGTCACTCCTAGATGGTTCATAAGGGCACATTTGTCTCGGGCGAAGTCGGGGATTCGCCCCATACGTTGCATTTAGCGTGGCAGGACAATACTACTTGTATTGGAAAGTGGAAAAATGGGATACGGGGTAACTGTGTCCCATGTCCCCTGCCCCTGCCCCCCCCCCCCCCTGCCCCCTACTATTTTGACCTGGCTAGAACCCTGTCTCATTATACTCTGCTAAGATGTTGTGGCTCACACATACTACCAAGAGTACATAAACCAGAGTGTGCAACAAGATGTTGTGGCTCACACATACTACCAAGAGTACATGAACCAAAGTGTGCAACTGTGCATATCAGATCTGAAACAGCGCAGTTCGTGCACTACGTCACCCTGATGAGGTCAGCCAAGCCGCGACTTGCGTACAGCTCAAAATTTCATGTTTCATAGCCCGGAAATCAGCCAAGTTTGCTTGATTTTAGACGTCCAGTTTCGGTGTTTTGTGTGACTGTGTACGCTGCGTACATCCACCGACAAGTAAAGTCACCAGGCTATCCGTATCAAAAAACCGAAATCAGGACAAACTCAGTGACCTGCACCACCACGACTGGGTACGCAACTTTTCACCGTACCTAGTACCTGTGGCTTACCATGCCGTCAGAAATGACGTACTGCACGAATTACGCTCCCACAGGAACCATCCCGAGTCGTATCCCGAGTTGCACACTCTGGTTTATGTACTCTTGATACTACAGGTAGTACTAGAGTACAATTTGCACCACAGCCGGCTGACAAACGGGGGAAAGAACACACGCAAAAGACAGGACAACGCGTGCAATGATCATTACCTCCGGTAATTGCCAGGCACGACGATCTTCTTTGAAGCGACTGCCTTCATGACGTGGCTCAGCACCTCGTTAATAGGCCCATTCATCTGCTGAGTCAGCTTACCCTGGTACTGCTTCTCCAGCTCTTCTCTACAAAACGTAGAAAGAAAAAAGGACATACGTAAACGATTTAAGAGTAACTCTCCACCACTGTAACTAGATACTTGATACAGTCAGAAAGTGCAACAACTAGGCACAAAACTGACAGAGTACTGAGACATTCGACGCCCTGACACCTAGCTTCAACATCCTTTTCCTTTCTACATTTATTATTGGCTCAATACCCGAGTCTCTACAAAACGCATGAAAACACTCATGTACAAACAAAAACACAGACACAGTGTCATATTGAGTCTTGTTGCTTGCTCCGTATCCAGGACGTAAAACAAGCTCTTTCAAAATTTCTCCAGCCGAGTCACATGGACAGGTGGGGCGAAGAAGCCCCATGCCGACATGTGCACGACATCCATGCTGCTACTACACACACATAGACCAAACACGCACACACACACATACAGTAACACGCACACAATAGACACCCTTAGCAAACAACGGTAACGCTATTTTTTACAGTACTCGTACCTTGATCACCCAAATAGCGTTGAAGCTGCAGCGTATAAACGTTATGGGGGCTGATTTATCGTTGTGACCAACGGTACGTGTTTTGGCCAAATATTGCATAGTCCGTACGCATTTCACCTTGTATCGCGTATATGGTGACAAAAATGGTTGTACCGCGCGAAATCAAAGCTATTCTCGTGGCAACAGCGTACTAAAAATAGCGTGCATCTTGCTAAAGGTCGAACCCAAATCACGGTATTTTCCCCCTTACGATAATACCGTTACAACATAACGTTTTTTGCTAAGGGTGTCTATTGACGCGATAACATAAGCACGTGCACACACACATACACACACACCAACATGCACACACACACACACACACACACACACACACACACACACACACACACACACAACATTTGGACCATTTGACGCCCATCGCCGGGGGCGATGATAGTGATGCTACAGCAGAAGCCATAGCAGATTGTGCTGGGATTGCTCCATTCAACATCTTGCAAGGCTGAAGAATTGACCGCCGCTATTCAGCCTGGTCTACACCACAGCTATGAAGTGGCTTTTTCTGGCCAGTGAATCACACACACACACACACACACACACACACACACACACACACACACACACACACACACCACCACCACCACCACCACCACCACCACCTCCGCCACCACCGCCACCACCACCGCCACCACCACCTCCACCACCACCTCCACCACCACCTTCACCACCACCGCCACCGCCACCTCCATCGCCACCGCCACCGCCACCGCCACCACCGCCACCGCCACCGCCACCGCCACCACCTCCGCCGCGATACTAGAGACCATTAGCAAACCGTCACGCTTACGGTCGAACGATTGCACAGCTCCGATTTCCAATCGTCAAAGCATGCACGGCACAAAGCCGTGCGTTGAACCATTCAGGCACGTGGTGCGGGTGATGCGTGATGCAGCCGGAATCGTAATTGCTTCGTGATCACCCATTGGGGCTGCTCCAATCGTGCTCACGAAACGATTCGAGTTTCCCGTGTGCCGGCCTCATTCCCAGGTTGTCCCAATCGTCGCGCCCGACGGTTTGCTAATGGTCTCCACTATCACCATGATCACACAAAATACACGTGCCTAATAGTTCACTGCCAATGTATCACTGCACAAGTGCACTAACATTACACTAGTAGAAGTGTTGCAGTGGCAGTGCAGTCAGTCAGGGCAGAGTAAACCACCACTACAGTCCATTCAGAAAAAAATGAACTTCTAGCTTTTGGCCATAAATGGGTCAAACTTTGAGTTTTTTTAGAATTTTTTTGGCAATCCCCTATGGAATCCTCTTCCAATTATGTTTCTGAAGTTTTTTTGTCCAAAAAGCAAGCCATAGCAAGAATAGGATTTCGGCCAGGTTTTGCCCCAAAAGCACAGAATTGGGAAAACCATCAAAATCCAGGCCGTTTGACCCCGCCTGGCAACAGTGCATTCTGCGGTTCGAACCCCAGTTCAGGCACCCTTTTTGGACCCTTTTTCAAATTTCAAAGTTCGCAGCACTGCACTGTGTACGATGAAATCACGAAAAACCGCCAAATACGGGAGCTCGCCAGAGCCAGAGCCCATCTTTTTATGAATGGACTGTAGTACTAGGAATATGCTCTGTGTACTTGTTGCCGTGCATCGTGATTGGCGTACAAGCTCGTGCCCACATAGACACTCATCTGATGCCCCTTTTGAATCAGATAAGCCCATGGGCCTGTCCGCGGAGTTCTTTGGTACGGTAGAATCCCGCGGATAAGCCCACCCGCGTATAAGCCCATGCTCACGCATAAGCCCACCGAAATGTCCTTGTGAAACAGATAAGCCCATGGGCTTGTCCGCGGAATTCTTTGGTATGCTGTATGGAGAGGCACCACGTGCACTGGTTTGCCACTAAATACAACGTATCTACAATGTTGTCATTAAACATGACCTCTGTGTGAAACAGAAGTATGGCGGTACTAACAGCAATTGACGGTACACAACAAAAGCAATGCCACGTTGCACGCATGATAAGAACAGGCACAGCGGCAGACTCACTCTGACAGTGCCACCTCTGCTTCCATCGACTCTTCTTTGTTGAGGATGAGAATCAGAAAAAGGGTAGCGTGTCTGGCCCAGTCTCATGGGAGGGTCCATAGCCACCTAGGAAAGAAACACGCATGCACACACACAACAGTGGGAGGAGGAGATATTAGAGAATGACCGAGACAAATACGGATCACAGTCATGCCTTAGTGCAAACGCTGCAGTACTACCTGGAGCAAGTGTCACTTTCCTAGATCCTGTTGGCCGATAAAAATTAATATTGGTACACGAGAGCAGTATGTTTTATGTTTTGCATGTAGCATGTAACTGCTGGTGGATAGAAAAATGCCTATAAATGGCCCGTGCATATTGCTGTACGGAGCCATGGTCTACATGCACACATGAACGTCGTGCGTGCAACCAAGGTTTTGTGGTCCTGGCCTACACGAGTCCCTGATTAGAATGCAGAAACCGGCAGGAGAGCTGTTCCGTGGTCCACCTTCCACACACCCGACATAAGAACATACTAAATATTCCAACACTACAATTCATGCCAATGGGAAGGATAAGCAGCCGCCAAAAGTACAGCGTAGCAAAGAAGTCACAATGTGTGGTAGTCAGCCATTCGAAAAGTCCATTACTAAAGATAAATACCTCAGTAACTATATAGTATGTTGGTAGCAAGAGTCCATGGGGTTATGAACTCTTGTTGGTACTTGGTGTGCTGTATGGCTGCACTACTGCACATAATTCTACATGACTGTTCTCTAGTCTTGATAGTTGCAATTCCTACTGATGAGACAATGAACTCAAATACATGTAAATACATTAAATTTTGCAAAATACAAAATACATTGTAGTCTGTATCACTGTATCCATACCATTCTGGCCACACAAGTCACCTAGCGGCAACAGCTACGAAACTAGATGTACAGCACATCGGCCACACTGCTTTTTCTATAAGTAATTAAGTATGAAGTAGTGGTTGCGACTTCGGCGATGATTTGTCAGAAAGGTTTGCTCCCCACACCGGAGCTCGCGCTATTCCGCCGACTTTAAGTCAAGTGTCAAGTAAAGTCGGCGGAATAGCGCGAGCTCCGGTGTGGGGAGCAAACCTTTCTAATTAAGTATATCCTGCAAAACTAACAGTAACGTTTCAAGCTACATGGTTCAAGTGATCACTGTCCTCCGATCTGCCACTCTCAGCTGGCTGTGCTTTGGGCAGTGGTGATCCTCACTGCTGCGGGCTGGTAGCATGCTCACCAAAGAAGTGCCTCAAACAAATCATATGGCAGGAGTTCTTTGTGGTTTGTGAGCGGTGGCGGAACGGACATATCTTTTACATTACCACCCACCCAAATGCGGTCCATGGACATCATATCGGGTGAAGACAAGATGCATTGGATGCCATCTCCTGTTATCTGGTTTTCTTGCAACGACACCATCTTCAATGAGCTGGTCGTCCGCTTCATGTGAACTAGCTTTTTCACTGTGTTGTCACCCAGCTTGTTGTGCTGCAGGAACAAAACTTGCAGATTCTCGTGACCAGTCAGGGCTGTGAGTAGATCCTCTGCGATGGCATCCGTCATTCCTGTGTCGCCCATGGCAACACACCGGAGGTCACAGCAAAGCGGCAACGTTGACATGAATGTCATGTAGGAGTCCACATCAGTCACTCCATCCTTGAAGACAGGATTCTTAGTCAACGATAGGAACTGCAATTTACCTTGTGTAGATGAAGCCACTATTGCCGCCGCTCCACTAATGCTTATACTATTCGAATCGAATTGTAGCATGTGTAAAGTCGAGTTGAACTGGAGTCCCTGCCTTGCCAATGCCTGGAAACCGTCATCTTTAATAGCACTGAAAGACAGGTCAAGTTTCCTGATACTGCTGTCACCGGCAATGAATGTTCCAAGGCTCGCCATAGTCAAGTTTGATACTTTGGCTGAGAGGTTGCCTCCATATTGCGCAACGATGTCCTTCACATCGCTCTGGCAAGTACGCCCAGATGTGATAGACCAATCGGCTATAATTATCTCATCATCGCCGCAGTTACCAGCCTTCTCCAGTGCCTTCAGCAGAGACGCATCCACATCATTTCCAGTAAGAAACATGCAGCATGGTTGCTGCAATTTGTTCGGCCGTGCCTGTGCCTTGTCTGCTGATGCGGTGTTGGTGTGAACACGCCTTGCCTTCAAGAAGTTATCTATATGCGAAGCAATGCCATTGGTGAGTAGGTTATACTCAAGGTGGATAACCTGTATACTATGATTGTGCTGTAGGGCTGACAGTATACAGGTGGCATCCTCGTCCTTGAAGTCATTGTAGGCCAGAGCCAGGATACTCAAATTTGGCATGGACAGTATCAGTGAAGAAAGGGCTGTACCACATCCCGTGAACAAACCAATATTCTGTGCATACAAGCTAGACATGCTCAGGAAAGGTGTTGTAATTTTTGTTTGGAGTAGTTCCAGCGAAGCGTTTCCCAAGTCATTGAACGATACGTTTATAGTGCCGAGATGGAGCAAGTGAAGCAGCTTAGACAAGGACCCCACGTCGTGCTCCGTTAACCATGCACCTGTAATGT